GACCAGGTGGACTGCATGACAACGGGAACTTGAACCACTCCGCTCCCCGGGGCCACAGGCTCATGTTACAGTTTTACAGCGCATTTCATAGGATTCCACAAGCCCCAAATTCTGTGTCATCCTAAGGCTACCGGTACAAGCAGTACAGGTGCCAGGCACTATTACAACTAGGTGGTTATGCGTACATGTCATTCCAAACCCATCAAAGACATCATACACATACAAACACACACACACACACACACACAACTTCGGAAGCCGCGGAGCTTCCTCTCTTGCTCATTGCAGCGAGTTAATATATGCATGCACCATCCATACCTACTGGGCCGATGCTGATAATAATTGACTGCCCAAGTTACAGGGCAGAGGCCACTAATACGGCTTAACTTTACCAACCCCGGCTTACCCAATCGTCCTGCTCAAAAACATGACTGCAGCGTTGTAGCAGTCAGGGGTACTTGTAGATGCATACCTATGGCCCGGTATTATTACTACTAGAGCCTGCTAATAGTTCAATAACATATTACTCGTAGGTGTCGTAGAGTCTAGCAGCAATGACTCGATGATGCTGTGTCAGTTCAGTGCATCTCTTGGATGCCATTTGCCGGCGATCACCTCGACAAGGCCCTTGTAGCCCTGCCACCCCTGCAATATTTATTTTCGGACCCTAACCTTTTTCTTTGATTTTGATTTTTCCCTCCTTTCTTCAATTTTTTATTTATTTTTATTTTTCCTTCTTCCCTTTTCCGTCCTGGCTCCTTATCCCCTGGCTCCCCCCCCCCCCTTCCCTTCCAAACCCCTCTCCTAATTCCTATCCATCCATCCATCCGTCCATGCCAGGAACCGAAAATCAAAGAGGGGAGGGGGGGGGGAAGCCAATTCAGGAACCGATGCAATAAAAGGCACCCTTTCTTTACGTGTGCGTGCATGCTTTCCCGACGTATGATATCCGTCGATTACGAGTATACGTAACAGAGTAATGCTCGTAGCAACCCCCTACCGACCAACTCATCCCACCCCCTCGGACAATTCCCTTTCTGTGGAAGCTGCTGCAGGGGGAGGGGCGGGCGGAGAGGTTTACCGTGTGCACGAGTGGGCATTTTGATCAACTGTCATGTTGACTGTTACGGCGCACCATACATACGAGTAATCCGTCTGACGCGTCTGACGCGTCTGACGGGATGCGTTTACAGCGTAGTATCAGCGCTTCTTTGTGTGTGGTGGTGGTGGTCAGATGTCACGGGATAATTTCCCCGTTACAGGTTTTTCATTCGTCTTACTCTCCTCACATGCTGTCCACTCTCGCATATGATCATGTTCTCATTTTCGGTAAGAAGAAAGAAGAAAAAGAGGAAAGAAGAGAGAAAGGAAATATCACATGTGACGAGAAAGCGGGAAACAAGGCTCGATGTAGTTAGCCTCTCCCTTCCCCTCCCCTTCTTCTCTTCTCTTCTAACGGCATGGAGCGTTTACATGTACGATTACAGTGCTTTTTCTCATTCTTCGATCTCGGGAGCCGTTGATAGGTCTAACGTGCTCCGTACCTGGATTTTAGCCCATGAATGCGACTACCGATTCATAGGCGAATGGGCACGTATACACGAGTACGTCAGCTCCCATATGAACGGAGTATACCGCTGTGCTTAAACCCGGTATATGTAGGGCCACCCAGCAATGAATCGTACCAGCATCACACCACCCCACTGCGACGGTGCCGCTAGTTTGGGAGACTGGAATGGCATCACATCTGGGAGGCAGCCAATATTGCACCCAACGTAATCTGTACAGATTAATCTGTCGGAGTATTATTATCACTACTCGTAATACTACCTACAGGCTGCTACCTACAGGCTATAGGTTACCGAGTATTGCAGAGTACAGATTGCAGGTATGAATATTATTCTGCGCTCGTAAATATGCTGTGGGGCATCTTCCACTCGATTATTTTCTCCGTAATACCATACAGCGCATGACGTATCAATCCATTTCTCGCCCTGCTCTAAACAGGCACAGATGTTCGTCAAAGCCTGCTGGTATTCAATCATGACAATCATGTTGGTGTCAGTTTGCCGTAACGCGTCGTGGTCAGCTACGCGACCTCCGCGCCATACCGTCTACGAGTACGCCTGAATCGTGCAGGAGCCTACCTCCATGGTTGGCAGTTTGCCTGGCGTGTGTTGCCATGCAGTTGTCGATACGTATCTAGTGGCGGTATCGGCCTGTCTCTCCTTGCTTGATTTGCTGCTTTGCTGCAATCAGCAACCACTCTTCCCTTCCCCCCACGTTCGCAGAGTGTCCGTACACAGATCTTCTTCCCTTTTCATCCTCCTCCACCGCTCGTTCCTGGTGACATTCACCATCATGGTACATTGCGCTCGTAGTCGGTAACCCGTGGAAGCCATGCCTGCGCGCCACGCGACCCACGCGTCAATGATGCCGCTTTTAACTCAGTATCACGTCGCCCAGGAGAGGACGGCACATGGTCCGTCAACGCCACCTCCCGTTTCCCCAGAATCATTGAGTACGCACACGCGAACACACCCACACATATCACAGGTACTGCTTCTGTACATAGGAGCGTGTTGTGTGATGCAATACCCTAGGACGCAGGGTCCGTACTGCCCTATGAGGTCCACGTTACACAACCGCCCGCTTCCGTAATGACCTCTGACGCTGGCCTGATGCTGGTATTGCTACCATTCATCCTTGGACGGACAATCCGATGTCTAGCAGCCGCTGTGACTCCGAGATACTGCCATACGAGGAAAGCTAGAATTAGGAGGAGAAAATATAACTGGGACATACGTGTATACACATTCACATACTTGTCCGTTCGCAGATCGTATACACCAAGTACACCACCGGGAAGACAGGCCTTGCGGTTAAAACAGGAACGGATAATGGATTTGAATATAACGGTGATGGAAGCAAACCCATGCTCGTAGGATTGTATGTCATCGGGCCAAGGCTAGACCTTTTCCCCGCCATACTAGTATCTTCTCATCTTCTTCGTTGCTCCGTCACTCGCTGCTCTTGTATGCTCTTGCCTCATCCTGTACGGGTATGGATGGTGATGTGCCCACTTGTTGCGTGATGCTTCCTAGCGAACTCGACCATGTTTTCGGCCGTAGCTCAGATGAATTCATGTGCTTCTATATAAAAGAAGCCAGACATGGTCATCCTAAAAGCACCTATGTGGTCTTGTCTCGGGGGTGAGATGATGTATCTCGTATACCGAAGGAGTGGACCTGCCTCGATCCCCTTCCAGCTATAGGGTGTGCAGATCTCAACCTCGTATCAAGAAGAGACTCATTCATGCTCGACTCCCACGTTCTCGATATTTTCCCAATACTGAGCTCCGATGTAAAATGGCGGTTGGAAGGCGATATGTCACAGATCCTGATATAGCTCGGAAGTTTGCCCACATTATCGATGGGTGCCTATATTTTCTTATACCTAGTCACGTTCCTCTGGCTCAACGACAGCACAGCCACGAACAAGAATAAGGACGAGACAGTCAATGGGATACTGCAGTCTATCCTATCACTTGACCAATCCCACACACCAGAAGGCCTAAGCAGAAATACCATTCTCCAAGAACATCAATCCCATCTATGGAAGATGTCGGAGATACACGTACATGCAATAGCCAAAACCACACCCCTCCGTAAGTTGGGTCAGCAACATGGAAGCCACTAACTACATGTACTCAAACAAGGCCAGAAGGAAAAAAAAAACCCCCCGGACATAGGGACGGATATTCATCAGTGGAAAGACACACATGGCATAGGATCCATAATATCCTGCACAATCGCGTACGCCACGTACTTTGCAAGGCGCAGTTATACGGTGTACAGCAACGACGACGTCGCCGAACGTGTCCTGTCCCACCCTCACCCCAACAATGGCGATACCGTATCTCGTAGCACTGCCCACATCATGCACGAGTCGACACAGAGCATCTAGAAAGACAATGAAGAGGGTAGGGGAAACTAACAGAAAAAAGGCAATGTTGGTGATGAAGGGCGGTAGGAGGACTTCGCCAAGCCCAATGGTGTAAGTGGAGATGCAAGTGACGTATCTCGATTGGGGGGAGGGAGGGGATATCGTACCTGTCTGTATAGATGTGGGGAGGGATCTGAATTAATATGGCCTTGGCCTTGGGACATTGGTGGTCTAACACATGATGGGGATACTATCAACCCGACGGTTATCGAACCAACAGTTGAAGGGAAAGACCACCACCGGATATCATACACTTAGGTACTAGCGCCTCCCCTGTAATACACTGCAATACACGTACGAGTATGGGTTGAATAGATCCTGACTACGGATTCAAGAACATTGGCACTAAGACTAGGGGAAAAAAAAATAGCATCGAGGGCAGAAGCGTCATGTGATGGCCCCTCTTCAACCCATTCGATCAAGGCTGTGTCAAGGGGTGGGCTTCAATCTTCGCCCCCCCCCTCCCCAGCGCCCGCATTGGATCGGCGGCGTCCTCCACACCTTCTCAACGTTTGTTCCTCACTGCCTATGAGGCGCAGTGACACCACGCAAGTGAAGATGAAGAGACAGGTGATATCAGAGAGCAGTCTTATATATATCTGATAATCGGAAAAAAAAATAAGAGACTGCCGCAACTCCATTATTATTATATTCAGATTTCCTCACTCTCGAGAGGGACACATACGGGAGAGAGAAGAAGAGTCTGTTGTGTATGACATCGTGCAAGACGTCACACCCGTATTGCTGGACACATCATATCACAAATACCTACAATGACGACAGACGATCAGCAGCAGCAGCAGCAAGTCCAAGATGAGGGTATGGATCAGCCTACGCTGTACTACTGGACCTACTCGCTGTATTCCATCATCGTCAGGTTCGCCTTGGAACTGGGTCACACACTCAATCCGGACTCATCCCCACATATCCGGCTGCGACTTGTGAATTTGAAAAAGGACGAGCATATTGGCGAGGAATATCTCGAAGTGAATCCCATGGGACAGGTCAGTACTTGGCTGGGTAATACTCCCTCGAGTACGATAACCTAGACTAACGGGCCCTGTATGCATACAGGTCCCTGCACTACGTCTCTCAGAGAATCGAGATGGGAATGAACCAACCAGGCTGCTGGCAGACAGCAGCGAGATACTCGCCTGGCTATGCAGACTGCAGCCAGAACTGATCCCCAAGGACCACCAGGAGGACATACAGTCGCTCTTGAGCTCCTTCTACGCCTTCCATGCCAAGCCATTAACCGTCAAGCCCGAAGAGCGCAATAACGGTATCACCAACAAGGCTGCAGCCATGCTTGAGAGGACGGACATAAGCGAGTCACATAGGCGCCGCCTCGAGGTCAAGAGCGTATAGTAGGTTTTACCCATCTGACCCTCCCCCTCCCCCCGCCCTCGCGACCCTTCTCACGGCTATTGGCGCTGATGCCGTGCCCATAGCCACGATACCAAGTTCCGGACCACACTGGACGCGGATAACATTGAGACGGTTGAATCTCAAGCACGGGACTTCATCCGCAGCGTCTCAGATCTGCTTCGGCGGCGACAGCGGCAGCAGCAGCAACAAGGCGATGAAGATTTTTCAGGAAGCGCCATATACATATTTGGTACCAGGCCCAGCGTCGCGGATGCCGTAGTGACAGCGCTGTTGGCCCGTCTGATGGATGTTGGACGGGATGACATCGTTGACGACGAGACGGCCAGGGATTATACCACCAAGGTGATCAGTTCAAGTGAGTGGCAGAAGGTTATGCAAGGTCGGAGGACGCTTCCTTAGATGCATAGAACAGAAGGGAGCGATGCATGCCGAGAAAGAATCATGGTTTGTTGTTGTGGGAGGAGGGGCTGAATGACGTGCTGTCGGTGTCAGCCGTCACCAAATGTCAAGGTTACGGCAGATATGACGGTGATTGAACACTGCCGGAGGACGGGCGACTGTTCCTGCGAGGAGCGAGTATAGAAAGTGGATGCTGCCGCTGGATGATGGCTCGATGATGTAGACAAGTATTTATCACTATATAAAGTTGAAAGGTTGATTTAGCAGATTCAGCGGCTCTGGTAGCGGAGGCATCCTGCGATGCAGAGTGATTTGATGCCTGCAGCGGCGAAATTATTCGGCGGGAAACGGACGCAGAGCAAGAGGAGAGATAGGACTTTTTGAACGGAAGATTGACGCGACCGCACCTGCTTCCCACGTAATAATGCTGAGGATTGAACGGGAGTAGCCGCATCGTATTGTCCATCGTTGGTGTACACTCGTATCATTGAACGGGAGATAACGACCGCCACTGGCTTGGAGGCTGATTGCCATTCATTGGTCGACGGCGGCACATCTGGTCCAGACACGAGCAAAGGTGGTGGCGAGTGGTGGGGGGGTTGGGAACGATCTGAGGACGAAGCAGATGGTGATGTTCTGATGCTACCGGCGGGTTGAGAATGACGGAGTAATCATTGCTAGAGAAGGAAAAAAGTGTAGTCATGCGCAGGACATTTTGTCCTTTTCTTCCTTCTCTCCTTCTCTTTCTTCTTCTTCGTTACTTTCTTCCGGTCCCTTGTTTTTGTTTTCTCCCTCTTTTTCAACAAGATAACCACACCGTAATAAAAAAAACCTCTCTATGCAAGAGATCCTCGATCAGCGAACAGCCTCTACTCCTTGAGACAGTGCAGCAAAAGTGCAGCAAAAGTGCCTATGCAACGGTCTTCCCGGGCTCCCCTCCATCTCCCAAACAAAGGCCGTGGAGGTAGAGCCAATAGAAGCGTCGCACCTACTGCACAGACCCGGTGGCCCCTACGCCTACTTTGGCAGGTAAATGCCCCGATCCAACGAGAGGAGAAGAGGTCAGGGCGATAAGCCTCGTAAAATTCGCACCACACGCTTCCGCCCTGACGCGCGATGCCAAGGAGGCCCATATACGCTGTAAGATGCTCTTTAGAGCCCAACGAACCGCTATATTCACATACGAACCATGTACGAATCTGTTCAACGGGCGATAAATCCCCCCCCCCCCCGGTTTGAGTCGCGCTTGGCTCCCCCCCACCACCACCACCAGCCGCCCCCAGTTCATGGACGCCCTGCCGTTCCTCTCGGGTCCTGGTTCTCTCTCAGGCCACAAGGCGGCCATGAACCTCTGTGTCGCACTCTCCCCCCCCCTTCCTCTCTTGATGAATACTAGATACACAACAATATACTTCACCAGGAGATATACGACGGTGACGACGACGACGACGACGACGACGACGACGTGACTCTACGTCCCGGAAAGGCCGACGAGCCGGTGACCTCTCACGAGGGAAAGACGAAGACGAAATACGCACGACTACGACGACTGTTCTTCTACATCCCATTAAAGCCCCGTCCCCACCACCACCACCAGCGGCTAGCCAGCGCTGTCACTGTCGACACCATGCCCTCCATCGTGCCCTCCTTCTTGCGCAGGCGCCAGACCGAGGAGGTCACTCCCGTCCCTGGACCCCTCGAGGCAGAGGTTCAGGCATCCGGAGTCGATAATATCAAGGGTCTCTTCCCGTCCGAGAAGATCAACAAGCTCGACCCCAACTTCCCAATCGAAGAGTTCAACGATGTCGACGCCGCCATCGCGACCGGCAATGCCGAGAAGGGCATCGAGATTGAGCATGCTCTTATGGAGGATAACAGCCCGTATCCTGAGGTATGTCCCCACCATCATTTTTTTTCCAGTCATACGCATCGTCCAAAGTTGTGTGAGAGAGAGTAGCCTGCTGACTTTAGACTTCACCCCATAGGTGAGAGCTGTGGTGCGCAACTACGATGTCGATGTCCCTGCCAACACCGTGCGTGCCTGGGTCATTGGCATGATTCTCTGCACCATCGGCTCCGGAGTCAACATGCTGTTCTCTCTGCGGAACCCCAGCGTCTCCATAACCACCTATGTCATTCAGCTCGTTGCCTACCCCATCGGCCGCGCCTGGGATCTCGTCATGCCCGACCGCGAGTGGAACCTGTTTGGGCTCAAGTTCAACTTGCGCCCTGGAAACTTCAACTACAAGGAGCATGTCGTCATTGTGGCCATGTCCAATGTAAGCAGAAAGACCCTTCAGCCTCGGGCGGGTGGCCGTCTGCGGCCCCGACCCCTGTATCCTGCCTCTGTTGCTAACTGGTAGACCAGGCTGCCTATGGCGGTGGATCCCTCTATGCCACCGACGTTCTCCTAGCTCAGCGCCTCTTCTATGGCCAGGACTTTGGCTGGGCCTTCCAGCTCATGTTCGGCATCAGCACGCTGTGCATCGGCTATGGTCTTGCCGGTCTTGCGCGCCGCTTCCTGGTCTGGCCCGCTGCCATGATCTGGCCCGCCGACCTGGTCAACTGCGCCCTGTTCTACACCCTCCACGACCACTCCGTCTCCGACCCGACCAAGACAAACGGCTGGAAGATTGGTCGCTACAGGCTGTTCCTGATCATCTGCGGTGCCGGCTTCATCTGGTACTGGTTCCCCGGCTGGCTGTTCAAGGGTCTCTCCTACTTCACCTGGATCTGCTGGATCGCGCCCGACAACGTCGTTGTCAACAAGCTGTTTGGCGGCATGAACAACTACGGCCTGATGCCCATCTCCTTTGACTGGACCATCATCAGCGGCTACATTGGCTCCCCGCTGATCCCTCCCTTCCACGCAATCTCCAACGTCCTGGGCGGCATCTTCATCGTCTTCATCTTCATCTCCATGGGCATCCACTTTAGCGGCGGCTGGTACGCCGACTTCTTGCCTGTCCAGTCCACCGAGTCGTACGACAACACGGGCGCCCTCTACAACGTGACGCGTATCCTCGATGCCAACAACCACCTGAACGAGACGGCCTACAAGGAATACTCGCCCCTCTTCCTTTCCACGCAGTTTGCTCTCGCCTACGGCCTGTCGTTTGCCGCCGTGTCGGCCGTTATTATCCACGTTGCCCTGTACTACGGCAAGGACATCTGGACTCAGTTCAAGATGGCTCGCCATCAAGAGGACGATGTTCACATGCGCTTGATGAAGAAGTACCGCGACGCCGAGGACTGGTGGTACGCAGGTATGTGCAAACCGTATACTGCCCATGACAGAGCCCCCCCCCCTCCTGTTCCTGCGATGCTTCTGAACCTTGCTGACACTACGCTTTTTTTTCTTGGTCTAGCCCTTTTTGTCGTCATGGTGGCCATCTCATTCGGCGTCGTGGCTGGCTGGCCTACAGGCTTCCCTGCCTGGGCCTTCCTCATCTGCGTGCTGATCCCGATCATCTGGCTCATCCCCATCGGACTGATCCAGGCAACCACGAACGTCCAGCTAGGTCTCAACGTGCTCACCGAGTTCGTCATCGGTTACATGGTGCCTGGGCGACCGCTAGCCATGATGATGTTCAAGACATACGGTTACATCTGCATGGGCCAGGCGCTGTACTTTGCCCAGGACCTCAAGATGGGCCACTACATGAAGGTACCGCCCCGCGTCATGTTCTCGTCGCAGCTTATCGCCTCGATATGGTCGGCGATAGTGCAGGTGGGCGTGATGAACTGGGCGCTGAAGACGATTCCGGACGTGTGCTCGCTGGAGCAGCCCAACAACTACACGTGCCCCAACAGCCGGGTCTTTTACACGGCGTCGGTGGTGTGGGGGGCCATCGGTCCCGCGCGCATCTTCAGCGGGAAAGCCCTGTACTCGTCCCTCCAGTGGTTCTGGCTGATCGGCGCCGTGACCCCCATCGTCACCTGGCTGCTCGCCCGCCGCTGGCCCAAGTCCTTCTGGCGTTACGTCAACCTGCCCGTCATCTACGGCGGGTCCGGGCTTCTCCCGCCCGCCAGCGTCTACATCTACCTCTGCTGGGGCGTGGTGGGCATCGTCTTCAACTACTTCATCAAGCGCCGCTACACGGGGTGGTGGCTGCAGTACAACTACGTCGTCTCGGCGGCCCTCGACTGCGGCCTCATCTTCTCCACCCTCGTCATCTTCTTCACCCTCTACCTGACGGAGACGAGGCCGCCTCAGTGGTGGGGCAACACAGATGCCGTGCATACCATGGATTTTCTGCACAAGGCCGTCAAGATGAAGCTGAATCCCGGGGAGACCTTTGGTCCGACCGAATGGCCTTGAGAGAGTTCTGTGGGTTCTGCTTTTGGGATATGGACAACTTGAATGTATATGATGGATATTGATTTATAGTAGTAGTATTCTCCTTTCTCTTCTCTTCTTTTCTTTTCTTTCTTTTTTTTTTGGGTAGGGGAGGGGATTGGTGTAGGAGTCTCTTTTTTTCTTTCTTTTTAAACTTCCTCTTAGTCTTTTGTGTGCATGGGGGTTTAATTCATGATTGAATGTGTGCGACGCTGCTTCACAATCTCAGTGTAGAAGGCACTGCGGAAATACGGGAGAACGGTGTAGTCTGCTGAATAGGGGTATGTGCCCACTTGAATAGACTGCTTGGAATCTTATAACGTGTACTTTGGATACTTTACCTTGAACCGAAGTCTTCGAGTCTTAGCGAGGACAGGCCGCGGTAGGGCCGCCGGAGGCAGGATACATATTAGTGGCTGTTAACAAGATACGTGTGAGTGCGAGCGTAGTATGGGGATCCTGCCATGTATCCCGATGGGAAGAATGTCGATTGAGGTCGTAAATTGGATACTGGATATACTAAGCACCAGATCGATGGCGGCATCGGACGCGGACGATGTGTCGGGAGTGTCCCGGCTGGGTAGGTCTATCACGCTGCCATAATCTCCTCCACCGGCGATGTGCTCAAGGCCTACGTGTTCAAGTAGGACATAATCATCCGGATGATGGGCGTTATCCCAGCCCGAGAAATGTCGCGGTCTTCATATCTCGACGGATAACGTGGCGCCAGATAAAAGGCAAAGTCACGCAGGACTTGCCCGAGGAACGCCTCTTCGCCCAGCATCGGATCTAGCGCACCCCATTTTCCCTTCCTTACTCATCACAGCGACCACTTTATACAAGTTACGCGACAAGTAATCATGCGATCGCTCCATCGCCTCAACTACGGCTCCCGCGATAGCCTCTCCAATACAGAGATCACCCAGTATACATAGTCAACCAAATTCTCTGGCCAGAACACTCTCTTTCATCCCAGCTACCGATAACACAAGTTAGAAACTTGTATCTGAACTAGCATCTGCGACGGTGACACTTATCGCCCAGCGACACCCTGATCGTCTCGCCAAATAAGAATGGAATGAATAAGAGACAGATTGATGAGTATGAATCGTACCAAGAACATGATGAAGCCCCACAGTTCGTCGTGCACCGGCGCTGATGGGACGAGATCGTGGATCGTGCTCATAGGCTAAAGTTGAATGCCAAAAAAAAAAAATCAGTCACGTGCTATCCAAGGGCTGATGGTAGGACACAAAGTTCCATGTATAGGCACGTGACCCACGAGGAGGAAAAAAAAAAACACAAGGCCCCCTCCCCACCCACTGGCCAAAGCCAATGGGCGAAATTAGGGCTCAGGATAAGGAAAACCACCAACCGGACCCAATCCACCAAAAAAAGAAGCCCCCCAGGCAAAAGCGAGAATTTCCAGTCTGCCATCCAACCACCACTAACGCCCAAGCACAACAGCCAAGATGAGTACGTGTTTTCACTCCCAGTATACCCGACTTGAACTTGAAATCCTTGCGAACCGACGACACCATCTCTGCGACGACCGGGGGAGCAGGATTCATTCATAATTATCCTTCTTCCACGCTCGATATTTCCTTCTTCGAAGACCCCAGGTGTCGAAGTCAGAGATTGGAGAGGAGGCTCGCGATGGAAAATGCGTCGTTGAGGATTGACGGAACCGGGAAACAAGAGAAAAATGACTGACTTGATTTCTTCACCATCATAGCGAAGGGTACCTCTAGCTTCGGTAAGCGTCACAACAAGACGCACGGCATCTGCCGTCGTTGCGGTTAGTACTATCCCCTTCTCATTCTTAGATGCACAACGTTTTCCTATGGCGACGAAGAAAAGGCGATTTTGGAATCCACGACTTGGAATGGGGTGGAGAATGGCGATGAGAAGGGCAATGGCGAGAAGGGGGATTCATATCGTTGCCATGGGAAAACAACAGGAAGGGGGGAGACGGATATGATAATCTCCCCCCCCCCCGAGTGTGTCATTATCACAAGCCCTCTGACATTCTCGAAACAGGCCGTCGCTCCATGCACATCCAGAAGCATGAGTGCTCCTCCTGCGGCTTCCCCGCCGCCAAGACTCGCAAGTGTATGTTGAACCCATCCCTCGGACATGTCTCGATGAAAGCTAAACCTCTTCCCCTCCCCAACAGACAACTGGAGCGAGAAGGGCAAGCGGAGAAAGACTACCGGTACGGGCCGCATGCGCTACCTGAAGGACGTTCCCAGGAGGTTTGCCAACGGCTTCCAGACTGGCGAGCCCAAGAACGCCCGCAACCTGAAGATCATTGCCAAGACCTCGTCTGCCTAAACGATATAAAAAAGAACAAAGAAACGAATTTCGTCAATCTCCCAACGACCTTGCAACTCTCGAGCAAACCTCTCCTAAAAAAAAGATTCGGTCCCTTGTTTCATGTTTTTCTTTGTCAGACGAGACTGTTTTCGACTTTTAGAGAGTTACAAACCTCGGAAATAAAAAAAAAGATCCAATTTGTTTCTCTCCTACGACATATGTGATTCCTTTCATACTCTTTTTTATTTTCTTCTCGCGCGGCCCACCCTTCCACCCGGGAACCAGCCTAAATGGTAAATGGTTCCGGAGGGATAGCCTCTCTTTGCTCTAGAATGGAGAGAATGGATACCCTCGACTTTGAAGAAGAAAAAAAACATGGGATTCAAGGGGTGTTTCGGAAAGGACGAGGCGGACATGGGTGGGAGCCGGCCGGAGCAATGGGCATCACGGTGTTGGTCTTTGGCTTTTCTGTTATCTTCGCTTTCACTGGAGTGCACGGAAACTTGAAAAAAAAAGGGGGGGTGGGGGTTTAAGGATGTAGTAAATGGGCAAGGCATGATAAATTGAAGAAGGCTAAAAAAATTCACATCTTGCTCTCGACATGTTCTCCCGTCTTTTACACCTAGGACGGAGGTACTTGCAGTATACATTTGATTCTCTCTTCTTACACCTTCGTGATGATTTATCATGGTGACGCCACGCTTGAATGCGTATAGCCCTTGATGGTATGGGTATATATATATATACTTCTCCCCGGTTCTTTCCTCTTGATATGTTGACTGCCCTGGGAAAAGAAGAAGAAAAAAGTAAACCTAAGTCCCCCTCTGAAAGACCTTGACATTCCCATCCCCAGCAACAAAGTACAGGTACTCAGCCTCATCCTCGTCGGTCGTTGTGATCCTCACTACACCGCTGACATCCCTGGCCGTGCCCGTGTCCAGCATACGCAGCGAGAAGACCCTCGTGGCCTCGTGGGCCTGCCCCAGAACCAGGGCGGCGTGCTCCCTCTCCAGCATCGTGGTCTGCGATTGTATGAGGGGTGCGTCGGCCGACATGGTCAGCAGTGTAGAGTAGACGCGCTATCATGGTATCAAGTCAGTGATTCATTAGGAGAGAGGGAGAGAGGGAGAGAGGGAGAGAGGGAGAGGGAGAACTAACCTCGCGTAGCGAGAGAATCATGGCAGACAAGGATGTACTCGTCGTTTCTTCCGCCGCCGCAAGCAATACGTCCACCTGGTCGATGATGAGAACCGTCTTCCTGCAACGGATATGCGACACTGCCTCCTCCAAATGACCCTTCACATGGTCTACACGACTGCTCTTCAGGATATTGTTGCTTCTACCACTCGTAGCGTCATCCTCTGTAAAGAGGCCCGTGAGCCCATCTACATGATGGAAACGGCCTTTTTTACTCAAGGATTCAAGATCCAGACCCTATATTTTGTATTCTTGTCAGTCCCTTTCTTCTCTCTTTTTTTCCCCCTCTTATATTCTTCTCTCTCTCTCTGTCTTTTTTTTTTTTTCCAAATCTTTTTTCTTCCTTTCCTTTCCTTTTCTCCCTCTTTCTTGACTGATGTAATAGATATAGGAGAGAAAGAGAGAGAGAGAGAGAGAGAGAGAGAGAGAGAGAGAGAGAGAGAGGACATACTAGCTTCACAGCACCTTCACGCCAAAAGACCCCATCTCGCATAAAGCTGACCAGTACGACACCAACCTCCTCCTCTGCACCACCTTCGACGCCATCTGCCCCCTCACCAGGAAGGCTCCGGGGACCGAGGTACCTGTACAGGTGTCGGAGGACCAGCCAGTTGGTACTTGCGCCCAGGACGCTGGTGGCCAGGACGAGGGATGACTCGGCGGGTAGAGCGAGATATGGTTCTAGGAGGGGGGGTAACCTTAGGGACATTTTGGTCGTTCTGCGTGGGAGAGTGCTTCCTCTCAAGATGGCACCGGCACCGGCCTTTTATATCGGCGCTCGCGATAGGATTCTGTCTCGACGAGTATCGGCGGTTTCTCTGGTACTAGGTGGGTGTTGCCTAAAAAGAGCTTCATGAACCGCCTGTGCTTGGTGGGGGGGGAATAATCTCATTGACTCTCCCCCCCCCCTTTCCCACTTCTCCACAACGCACTACACATACGTCAGTAGTAGAGAGTTACCTTGTGCACGTCTACATCATCTGGAGGATAAGCAGTACTCGATACTAATCAATTCGTGGCAATTTATACATGCTTTTATATATATATATATATACATATATATAGGGAATCATGAGATGGTATAAGGGTGCGTGTATCCTAAAAAAGAAAAAAAAGAAAAAGAAGAAGAAAAGCGCTGCCGTAAACGAGTCTAATGTCATCAATCAAAATGCATCACTCATCATGATGAAAAAAGAGAAGCCGCAATATGCAATACACTAGACCAATAAGAAGCCGGATCCCAAACGTTTTCTGACTCCAAAAAAAAAGAAGCGACTGAATGGTGTATATGAAAAAGTCGGAGAGAAGAAGGCAAAAAAAAAAACCTCTAGAATTTCTCCATGAAATTTTTCCTGACAGTCCACATCCTGGCCCTCTTCCCAAATATATACATGGGCACAGACAAGAGCATAAAGATGAGCTGGATGATGCCTATCCAGATGAATACGTTTCGGGGACCGTCGTCCTTGAGCCAGTGGGATATGAAGAGGCTGAAGACGAGGCCGTGGAATATGTTCTTGGAGAAGTTGAGGGTGACGAGGGCCTCCCCCGCGTACTGGCGGTAGCTGTCGACGCAGAAGGTGATGGAGGTTGTGGATCCGAGCGAGCAGCCGAAGGAGACGATTCCGAAGAAGACGGTGGGCACGATCCAGTGGTCGCCCTCCTGGGCAGACCAGCCGAAGCCCATCAGGCCGACGCACGTGGTGATCAGGACGGGCGCGGCCATGACGAGCCGGAACTCGGGCTCGTACATGCCGCCGTTGCGGCGCGACATGGCCCTGACGATGACGTCGCTGACCCGGCCCGCCACGCCGGTGCCCAGCACCCCGCCGATGAAGGGCGACACGTACACCAGCCCCGTCTGCAGAGCCGTGAAGTTGTACCGCGTAGGGTCCCGGTATATGGCCGCCATGTTCTCCGATATCACGATCAGCCAGCCGATCGACAGCGAGTACACGATGGCCGACCACAGAACCGCCGGGTACGCGAACAGGATGAACGGCCGCACCATCACCTTGAGCCACCGGTCGTTGTTGAGCCGTCCGTGGAACGGCTTGAGCTGCTGCGTTATCGTCTGCGCAGGGAGGTGACGCAGGTTGTGCGTGTAGGCCTTGGCCTTGGGAGGCGCTCGCAGCTCCGACTCCGTGATCTTTTCGTCGTCCAGGTCCGCCCCCCCGCCGCCGCCGCCACCACCATCCGAGGAGAAGTAGTCGACCAAGTTGGAGGTGCCTCCGCTCTCCGAGCCGGTGGCCGTCCGCGGCTGCTGCGCCGGGGGAGCCATCTCACCATGAGCAGCAGCAGGGGCAGCAGCGCTGTCCTGTGGCTGTTGCTGCTCCTCTTGGGTGCCCGCCTCCTTGTTCGCCGCCGCCCCGGCGAACCCGACATGGAGTTCTCTCGCCCGGGTGGAGATGCCCGGCGACGCGGGTCGACCGGTCTCTTCACCTTCCGGGTGCGGCGCTGAGCCAAGTGTCGTCTGTGTCTTCGTGGTGGCAGGATCGGTGTGGTGATGGTGCGCCTGGCGGGACGACAGCCTCCGGAGGAAGCTGGGCCTTTTCTTGGGTTCCCTGGTGGGGGTTCTGTCCCAGAAGGTCTCGGGGACGAAGATGAAGAGGAGGACGCCGCAGAGGCCGACGACCATGGCGATGATCCTGGTGTCAAGAGGTTAGATGTGTGAGAAGAAGAAGAAGTCGAAGAAGAGAAGCAAACAAATGGGGATCGACGGTGCAGAAGAAGAAGAAGAAGAAGAAAGAAGAAGGAAGACTGCTTACCAGAAGGCCCATCGCCAACCGAAACGGCCAATGACGGCAGCACTGACAAGGGGCACGAGGTTCTTGCCACCCAGCAGGAGCAAGGTATATATGCCGATGCGGTAGGCGCGCTCGTGCAGGAAGAAGATCTCGGCGATGGTAGCCGAGGGCAGGCACTCGACAGGGCTGACGGCTATGCCCTGGAAGACGCGGGCGGCGAGCAGGGAGTGGAAGGAGGGCGAGAAGCCTGCCCAGAGGCTGGTGCCGATGAAGATGACGGCGCTGAAGAGGTAGACCGGCCTCTTGCCCCACAGGATGGCGGTGGGTGAGAAGATGACGGAGCCGACGCCCATGCCCATCATGAACAGGCCGGTGGTGAGGGCGACATCCTCGACGGTGACGTCGTAGGTGTCGGCGACGTCGGTGAAGCCGGCGGCGATGAGGGGTGTGATGCCGCCGCCGACCATGCAGTAGATGCCGAGGGAGAGGAGGGCGCAGTCGCGCTTCCAGCTCGGCCAGTTGAGCGGGTCGTTGGCCGAGTCGTCGGGTTGAGGCTCCAGGATGATCTGGCCGTCGGCCGTCTTCTTCTTGGCAGCCGTCTCGTCCTCCTTCCTCCTCCTCTCCGCCTCCGCCTCCGCCTCCGTCTCCGCCTCTGCCCCGGACCGGTGATGGTGTGGCAGGGGCCGGGTGCCCCCCGGGGTCATGGGTATGTCGACCGGGAAGCCGGCGGGGATGGAGGAGTGGGATGTCCGGGCGTGGACATTGCGCAGACCGAGAGGTTCATTGCGGTGCGAGGCGAGGAGGAGGACGGAACCTGGTGCGTTGTCAGTATATGCGAATCCGGGCCTTTATAGAGGAGGATCTCCTGATAGCTTGAGGAAGATTGGAAGGGAGAAGAAGAAGAAGAAGAGAGAGGTGATACCGGGAACTTCGATCGTCTCAGGGTCATTCAGAATGCCCATACTCCAGGTCGGAGTCCTCGAATGGCCACCACCGCCATCCGGCTTCTTGGACCGTCCGAATAGCCTGGCTGCCAGGCCGGGGGCGGCCGACTCCTCCGAAGACATTGGATGATGCGCAGACGGTGCGTCGGTCTGCGGTGGGGTGAGTCCCAAGGGCGTCTGCCGTTGCCGTGGGATGACTGTATGATACCTGCACGGAATATTTATATCTTATATACTGGTACAGCAGTACTATTTCCGATGATGTATCCTGCGTGAGGGGGAAGATGTGTCGAAGCAGCAACCCTCGCCGGCAAGTGTGCCGGGGAATGGAAGGAAGAAGGAGAAGAAGGAGAAGAAGGAGAAGAAGAAGAAGAAGAGAAGGAAGAGAAAGGACTGCGACACAGTTGAGGGTTTAAAGAGTTCAGAAGAGAGGTCGAGAAGTCGAGAATCGAGTCATGGGGGACCCTGGACCCTGGACCCTCTTCCCTGACATCTGCAGGAGGATGGACGGTGGTGAGCCATGACGCATTGAGGGGTCCCGATGGGTATGTGGGTGGATTTCGTTAATATTCTTACCTGGCAATGGCCCATACCCAAGACGAATGTTAGGTACGGGAACAACGGAAAAGAGGGTCCGTCTGTTGATGGCCGAGAAGCAGCGGCGGCTTAGTGGCGGCGTAATTGTAACCTTGATGGGGTTGATGATGATGGAGGAGGAGGGATGGGAAGAGGACAGTTGGACGCTGAAGGATGACCGGGGGGGGGGAGGGGTAGAAGAGAAGGCTGGGGGTCTTTGTCTTTCTTGGTTTCTTCCATCATCTCTATATCTGATATTTATACTCGTAGGGACGGAATCTGGTGAGATGATGAATGGGACGGAATGGTACTCGGAATGGCGTCTTGACCATGCTACTATGCATCGATCTGCAATCGGTCCCATCCTGTGCTTCCCTCTCTCTCTCTCTCTCCATCCCTCTCCCTCTCCCTCTCTCTGGATGTCTGTCCAGTCAGAGGACCGTGACGGGACCGTCGCTCCCCCTTCATGTGAAGGAGAGTGTCAGGCGGATGATTTTGAGAGTGGCCAGACTGCTGCACAATGACGAATGTCTTGCTTGCCAGATGCTCGGCCAAGTTTGTGTACTCGTACTTGTGTCTATATGATCCACCGCAGAACCTATCCCGGTGATTGAGCTGCCGGTATCAGCAGAAGATACTTTTCCTGCTCATCCAGACCCTCTCCAAGCAAGCCATCCATGGATGCGATGGGTACAAGTGAGTGATACGTGACGATATCGATGCTGCATAGATTATAGTATGAATACGATGATACCTAACAACGAACAAGCCCAAGCCCAAGCCCATACTATTACTACTACCACTACTGCTACTGCTGCTGCTACTGCTACTGCTGCTACTGCTACTGCTGCTACTACTACTGCTGCTGCTGCTGCTGCCGCTGCCGCTGCCGCTGCTGTACTCTACTGTACTAATGTACTCTGCTGTACTACTTACTGTACTCTACTATTACAGTAGTAGTGAGTAGTATTGAGAGTCCACGATACAGGAAAGCCCCCCCCCCC